TTTCTTGCCACTTGTATGATTCATGCACATGGTATGGCACTCACTATTAAATGCTTGGTTTTGCTTGACAGCTGGAGTGATAATTGGGATTTTATTCCTTATTTTCAGAATAAGGCAGCTCTTTCTGTCAAAATGATTAGCCCAAATAAATTTTCAAAAGAAGAATTTTAAGACATAAAATTATAATTTGGACTTTCAATTACTTTTGTTATTTTATTATTGTTTTAATGCTTTTAGGATGGTTTTACTTTGATTTAGTTTTCATGATAGCATTTTGTTTGCTGAGCTTCACCATGGAAACCTTTTTAATATAAAAGTGCAATAACAATGGCAATGATTAAGATAATGATGATCATGACAATAATAGAAATAATTGTACTTTGACATGCATTACATTGATGAAGTGATGTTTGATTATATTTATTATGAAAAATTGGAAGTCATGTTTTAGTACAGGTAAAATAGTTGAAGAAGAAAAGGATGGATTAAATTAATACATATTTAGGTAAGCAAGAGGAAATGCTAATAGCAATTTGCAAAGGAAACATCTTGAAAGTAGCAGAAGCAGAAAATGAGTGTAAAAATGAATTTTTGGACAACTGTTCAGAAAATTGGAGAAGTAAACCATTTCACAGCCAATACATAAAATAAACTAAAAATAAAGTAGACATGAGTTTAAACTGGCAATAGTTACAAGTTGGCACTATCAAGCTGAAAACAAAAGAATTAAAATTTAAAGCTCAAGAAAAACATTAGAAACAAATAGGGATTCAATATGTATCAAACCACAACAAATGCAGACTTTGTCAAGAAAAAGATGAAAGCACGGATCCTATAAATTGGTGTGCTCAGGCAGGTTGTAAACAATATCATGACAAAGTGGCCACCATGATCCATTGGCATCTGTGCAAAAGCTATAATTTCTGAGCTTCCCAAATGTGTCATGATCACAACATTGAAAAAAAAGGTTTAAAATCATGCTAAAATTGTATGGGATTTTTGTATACAAATATATTGCCATCTAAAACATAAGACACTAAATGCAACAATCCTTAAAAGAAAGAATATTTTTTGCAGGAATGGAAATTCCCAGGGTTAGCAGAATTGAGAAAAAAGAATGAGAAAAAAGATTACAAAACATAGAGAGCTAACAATCAAAATGGGTAAATTATGGGAAAAGCTTGACGAAACCAATGCATTCAATGAAATAACAAATCAAACAAAATTTTACAAGAGCTAAATTCTTTGGCTACATCAATTGCGGATATATCCCCTCTTCCTAAAGCCCCTACTACCACCTTACCTGGCATAAAGGTAAAGGTTCCCCTCACACATATGTACTAGACGTTTCTGACTCTAGGAGGCNTCAGTCAACCTTGAGCCTGATGAGATTCAAACTGCTGGCAGCAGGCAGTCAGCAGAAGTAGCCTGCAGTACTACATTCTAACCATGGCTTAGGGGAAAAATCTGACAAGTCCAGTAAAGCTAATAAACACATCCATCATTGTGCTGTACAGAAAGAGTCTATCGATGCTGCCTATACTATATTGAATGGTATTCACTTCCATATCAATGTTTCAGAATCGCACCATACAATACATGCCTATTTTAAAATAAGTATGAAAGAGCAAACATGCCTGGTGGTATTGCATTGCTGTTAGGTCTGCTTCCCATTGGTAAATATCATCCTAAGGTCAAATTCAGTTAGTTTCCCTGCATAGACCAGTCAGTTCCTCAGAGTTTGCTGCTGTTGGGCATTTTCCCTGACAAAATCATTTCTTACTTTACTTAAAGCTGCAAGACAAAAAAAGGAAAGTCAACCCACCCAGAAAGGAATGGTAGAAAAATACAGTCAGTAGATGCAGTGCACATTAATTAAATGGTTTTCAGATTTTGTAATGTGTTGAAAATCCATGTTCTTTTCCAAGGAAATTGATCAAGATCAGAACAGTAATAGAAAAGCTGGAATCTGCACTGCAGCATAATTCAGATTCTAGCAAACCTTCAATGCAACAAATTACCTTGTATAGCACTGATACAGGCAGTAAGTCATAAAAACTCCTCTTATGATGAATGATTATTATTTTTATTCTTTTCTCTATTAAAAAAGGCCAAAACAGATCAGAAGAGAGTAGCAAATTCTATCCTTGCTGTAAAAGGATACACAAGCAAGTACGCAGTATCAATTCTCCATTTCCCCGGAGAATCTGTGCACAGCCTACAGCCAAAAATGCAGGTCAAAAGTGAGTTCTTACAGAATTTTGCTCTGAAATTAACACTTGAGTTTTCACAAATTAAAGGCTCTTTAGAATTTCCGCCAAGCTCATCAGCAGATTAACTCTGCCATACTGCTGAAGAAATATACATTTTGCAATAAAAATTAGAACATGTAGCTGGGTAGAGTTTTGGAATTATTTTGCTTCAGACTAGCTCTGTTAAGCGATTCAATTTTAACTCCCTCACTATTTAACGTATGCATAAATTTTCTCTGGAATATTTGTTATTTTTCAGTTTCTTAAGATTTTTTAAAATCTGTCACAATTCCAAACTTCTTAGGAGTTTAGAGTGGCAAGGCACAAAATAAAACTTTCATATCAAAATTTTAAAAAAAAATCATGTAAGCATAAAGTCATAAAGTGAGGTAGACATACTTCACCGTAGGCCTTCTAGAACAACTTCATTTTCAATGTTGTTTTAGAAAGGCAACCTTAATTCAAGCAGGTGACTGTTCTAAGGTGTTGGCACTGCTATAGAAAAGAAGCATATAGAAGCCCCAGGTAGTGTTTAGCTTGCAGAAATTGAAGATTGGTAGTTTTTCCCCACAAACTGATTCCAGCTGGAGGCTAATTTCAGCTGGAGAAACTGCACCTGGAGCTTCCTCAGTGCCAAGCTACATGAGGCTTTATAGATAATAACTAGCACTTTAAATTATACTTGGAAGCTGATTAGTTCACTTACCTTCCCTACCGGTTCGCAAATGTGAGCGTGCACCTTCTGTGCATGCGCAGTGCTCACGCATTATGTCAGGGTGAGTGGGTGGAGCCTCCCACAGCCGCCGCTACTGGCTTGCATGAACTGGAGAGAACCGGCTGAATACCACCTCTGAAGCTGATCAGATGTCAGGACTTGGACCATAGATGTTTTAGACTCATTGGCAATGCTAGCCAATAAATGATCCATTGAATTCTTGACAGTTGGAAGCTTCTGGAATCTTCAAAAGCAAACCCCATTTAGAATGCATTGGTGATGAGAACAAGAGTTAGTAATGCAAATCCTCTCAGTTGGAATGAAAAGTTGATGAAAAGTCTAAGAGGACCAGGGGGCTTACTACTTCCATCCAGGTCAGCAACTACCATATACAAAGAATTGCTCTTGGTTTTTATGTGATAAAAATATCAAATTGTGTTTTCTCTTTCCCTTCTGCAAAATCTTGGCTAATCACAGCAAACAACACCAACATTTCTAATGTCCTTTACAAGTCTCAGTCCTGGTTGTAAAGACAGACAAATCAAAATCACTGTCAGTTCTGTTTGCTGTTGGTTTTCCAAAATTCCTCATTCAAAGCTCAAGACCCCAGAATCCTCTCCTTTTAGCTGAATTGTCACATATCTCTCTGTGCTTCTTCTACTAACAATGTGGTTTCAATATCTGCTTGTAGCTGCAACTTTCCAGAGCAGTAAGGCCAGGACAACAGGCTGACTCACCATTGCTGCTGCTGCTATTCAAAATGGATTAAGAACATGATGACCCTGATTTTCTGTCCTGATAAGGTATTGCTGGTAAAACTCATTAAAAAAATTGTTTGTCTCAGTTTTCGCCATTTACCTTAGTTTCAGTTCACAAACTGCCAATCTCATGGATGATAAATCTAACTTTCACCTCTATGGAACCAAACCAGGACAATGCCAAATTCAGCAAAAACATCGTCTGACTTTCTTCTCACTCCTTGAAATCATCATCTAAAAACTCTTCATCACTGTTGAAAAGAAAGCAACAACAATCTTTTGGAAAGCTGTCATTAGGCAGGCAAAAGTTCAGCAGTCTAGCTTTTAGCAATGGGATTCAGTAAGGAAATTCTTAAGCGCATGCTTAGATCATTTCAGAACCTGCAAAATGAACAAGAAGAAATAAAAGCTTTCCTATAAATGATGTCTCTGAGGCCTGAGCAATTACAGTTGAGAATCTTGAAGGGAGTCCCTGAGGTAATCTTTCTGGAATTTTTGAGGAGAATGNCTTTCAGTGTCTGGAAATTTACCTTGAAAGAATAAATAAACATTTTTTAAGGGAAAGCTCAGAGTGACCTTGGAAAGACTTTCACCTTATAAAAGCTTTGAATTCTTTTTCTTCTCTTTTTGGTGGCGGTGTTTACCTTACTCTTATGGAAGCTGTGACTCTTCTCTGTCTCTTTTTCTCCTTTTCAAATTTTTTTGAGTCATTTGTTAGCTTGTTTTAAGTGAATTGGACTAAGGAAAAAATTAAACACTTTTTTCTTTTTCTTTTTCATAATTTTTGCATTTTCATACTTCTATATTTCTATTTGGGGGTGTTCCTTTTTTCCTTTTTGCTCCCCCTTTTTTACCTCCTTTTTCTTCTTCCTTTTCTAATTGGAACCAACTGGATAAGGGCATACAAGAGATTACCAGAGGTTAAGTTAAAGGAAGAACAATTTAAAGAAACTATGATAGCTTGGGGAAAAATTTTGGACATGGGATTGAATTAGAGAAATGGCAGAAATTGTGGTCTCAAAATTATAAAATGACAATGTCAACAGCATACAAGGAAAATTTGTATAAGATGTTTTACAGGTGACATCTACCCCCAACGAGAATAGCAAGAATGTTCAAGAACAAGTTGGAAAAGTGTTGGAAATGTCATCAGGCACTTGGTTCATATTACCATATGTGGTGGACCTGCATAGAAGCTAAAAGAGACTAAAATCCACACATGGTTGGAGAAAATGAAACAAAAACACAAAGACTTTAAACCAGAGATTTTTTTTATTGGGAATCATACCAGAAACATATAATAAAGATCTGAAGTATTTGATTGTAAATGTTTTAATGGCAGCTAGAATTCTATTTGCAAAAAATTGGAAAAATGAGAAAATACCATCGCAGGAGGAAGTTATTTGAAAAATAATGGAATGTGCTGAAATGAGTAAAATAGCAATAGCAATAGCAATAGCAGTGGACTNTTCCAGAGGGTTTTAATAATGAGGGTGGCAAGGTGGCAAGTACAATCCAGTGCCTAAGTGAACAAACAATTGTGAGGGGAGTAGAAATGAAAAGGTGAGAATTTGTAGAGGTATAGAGAAATTTGGGGAGGAAAAAATATGCTTCTCACAAAGACACCTTTTCAGGAAGGGTTGTGAAAAGTTGGGGGGGTTGTATTGTTCAAAAACTCATTGGGAACCCCAAAATTGCAATCTGTCTGGTCACTAAAAGCGAGGTAAACTGGCCATTCTGAGGCCTTGGTGAAAAAATCTGCAACAACTGCAAGATTGATTTGATTTTTAAAAAAGCCAACTGAAATGAATGTTACCTATCTCTATTTGAGAAGTGAAGAAAGCATGTTTAACAGTGAAACTTTTGTTAGTCATCAAAAATGTTGTGCTTTAACTGCTGCAAGTTCCAACAGCAACATCAATAGAACAGGGATAACATCCATTACACTCTTCCAGGGCACTCAATTGCAAACTGTACATTATGTAACATCAAATGTGGGACTATTTACTTTCTGAAGTGAGCTTGCCATGCACAGCCTGTGCCTGAGGATGGAGTGAATATCTGATCAGCATATAAATTCCAGCTGAGCAACTTTATACAAGTATTTACTGAGGTAAAAATAGGGCACCTTTCAAAACTGTTACAGAATTTATTCTGCAATGCAATATATTGAAGGCCTGCCTGAACTTGCTGGATTGAGCTTGCAAATGATACATGACAGCTAAAAAGACCTTGAGATCTGATGCTGATAATGTTATCCTCTTCAAAATGATTCCTTCTAAAGGTTTACTATATGGAAGCAGCATGTTATCTTAAAATATAATAAGCCAATATCCACTACACTTCAAATACAAGTTTCAAATTCACCCAAAATCAGCTAAATAGTATTTCACCATGATTACATCACCTTTGATTATTCGAAATGGAAAGGTCACAAGAAATAAGGCAAATCTCTTTAGCTCCTGCAATACTTTGTCCAGCTGATATTTTAAATCAGTTTGCTTTGTTTTAACATGTCCCCTTGCAGCACCACCATCANTATTCAGTTGATGGCATTTTGTATATCATCCAGAAAAATTTCAGCAATTAGACAGATTCAAAATCTAATCAATTAATAAATGGGGATAATGCTTACCATGGCAGTGATTTATGTAAATTGGCTAGGCTGACTTGGAATTATGGGAACTGGAGGTGTCTGCACTATTGCCAATTTGAACAAGGTTTTTTTTAACCCACAATAAATAATTCTCATTCTAAGGAAATCATCTAAACAAGCAGACTTATGTGTAAAGTGCTTCCTCCTTTTCTGCACTATCATCCATTCATCTTCCCCTCATCAGCTTCTACAACTACTTTGATAAATAAACACAACAACTGCTTCTTCACTGTTTTTTTCCAACCTAACTTTTGGAAAGGTTTCAATTATGGTTCATTTCCTGCTGCAGTGCAGATAAATCCACAGTCATTTAATGCGGAAGGTGGGGAGACAGGATGAAATAGCTCTCCATTTAATCCTGAGTTGTAAGTTGCAAAAGTTGCCATCTGATCTGATCCTGAGATAAAAGGAAAGACAACAACAAAAAATCTCCCTGCACCCAGGAGACCAGACCCTTTAGAATTTCCCTAAATGGGAGGTAAAGGATGTGCCAACACCCTATCTCAGAGTTACTTATATTTTGATCTGGTTCCCTAGGACAATTCCCCACTTCTCTATGGGCTTCATTCCAGACGACATCGGCACTGAATAAACTGTGTCCTTGACAAGCTGAACACTCTTCTGGGTATTTGAGACAGCTTGCATAACCACAGAGTTTAGCTTTCTCATTCTCTCATACAATAATAACTGTAACTTAAAGAGAAGGGAAAGAAGTAAACTGCAAGCCACTGAATATTGAAATGTCAGCAGCATGCCCTGGAATTTACCAGCCCACTTGGGAGTTAACCAAAACACCAGGACAAAGTTTGCACTGCTGGAATATGATGATCTCCTCTAAAATGATTTATGTATTTAAAGCTATAAACAGATCAGAATACAACATATGGAGAAAGACATAACATGGGAAGAAGAACTCTTCTCTTTTAAGTGGATAAAGCTCAGCTCTTGATCACCTAAACATGATATGAAGCTTGCCATGAGGATTTGAAAAGGAGCCTGTAGTCAGACACCTCTGCAAATGCTTATTCTATTCAATGAACTGCATCAGTTCTGCTTAGATTTTCTTTAACTACTATCACTATTCTATTTATTCAGGAGGTACTTTTTCAAGAGGCAACTGGACTTTCTGGTTTTTCTTTGAAGACATTTTGCTTCTCATCTAAGAAGCTTCTTCAGTTCTGACTAGATGGTGGGGAAAATCCACCTTTGGGACAACCATGACCTGGATGACTGAGAATCTCCATAGATATTTATTCAGGACTTTATTTCAGCCTTACTCAAGCTAGGGGAGCATACTAATCAGAGAGCTAGTAGCCACTTTCCATCAAACCCTTTCAGTCTTCAAATAGTTTGTAAGACTAAAGAAGAACTCATTT